AGCACATGTGCGTCGACAGTGCATTCACCTGTGCGCAACATGGAAGAAGAAACTCCAATAGACAGAGAAGAGCTTTTATCTGATGGTGTCCTCTCCTTGGGGGATATCTCAACAACTGCAGTGTGTGGATCACCGTACCACTTGAGTGCATCTCTGGCGGGAATTAAACTGTTGAATGGGAGCCCTCGCATCAAGAAAGATTTCCACTCGGCCTCTTTTTTGGACAAACGTCGTAAGGAGGGATCTGGTATCACTCGGTTGTTCGAGTCCGACGACGAGGAGGAAGAAGACTTCATAGGCTTCAATGTGCCACATTTTGACAGGTCGTTTTCATCTGAAGGTGACCTGAGTTGTAAAATCAACTCCATTGTGGAGAGTATGGATGGAGACGCTAGTCAAACCACTTTGGAAGATGAGGAAAATAGCACCGTTCACGAAGCTGAATCAGGTGAAGAGGACATGGAAATGAGAGAAAATATTGAACGCGAGGTTGAAACGGTCACTGAAAAAGACATAAACAGGGGAGGAGAAAATGGAAAGCTAGGCTTTGGGGAAGTCGAGGGGATCAGACAAGCAGATGATACAAGGATTGGAAGAAAAAGAAAATCAAGTCAAATCGAGGGTGCCGAGTCTCAAAGTGAAATGCTCAGCACAACTGAATCGTCTTCCGTAGTTGATGATGAGGAGGACGATTTCGATGAAGATGACGACGTGTTTAGCACAGTGGCCGATAGCAGTGATGGGGAAGGAGAGGAAGAAGAAGTTGCATCACCATTCAGCATCTCAAGCTGGGGACGGAAGCGGAAGTCGGAGGACCTCCAACCACCGGAAGTTGAAAGGCAAACAAAACGACGGAAGTCTGAGAAGGGAACAGCTATCGACCACACCTGTGAGTCCTCCCAGAGCTCCAGAGCAGAGACTCCCATAAAGAGGGGGGCGGGTCAAGAAATGGAGACGCAAAAGGAAAACGAGAAACCAATTTCTTTTGCGTCGAGACTTGATGAACTGCAAGACAACGAACAGAGAAAAATAGCTCAGTCTTCATCGTCCGTACAAGATTCGGATAGCTTCTACGACAGTGACGTGGCCGTATATCAAACACTTGAGGAACGTGTCAAGCTTCGACGGATCAAGAACAGCTCTCGAAAAGAGCATGAGAATTCCGAGTCCCTTCCTCGAACTCAGGCTCGTAGAAAAGACGACAGTACAGAGTTAGCAGCAACAGGGAAAACCGAAGGAAGACTTCCTGCGCTAAAACCGCTTCGAAAACAAACGTTTCAACCATTAAAACCGTTGAAGCACGTTTCGCCGGTTCGATCGTCGTCGAGGCTAAGCCGTAGCAACAGCACACCGAATTCAAACCCATCACCACTCGCTAGTCCTTCTGGGAGAAGCCGAATCGGCACGTGGATTTTTGACGTCAACGAGTTTACGTCACCACCTTCAGCAGCGCCAAGATTTGGCGGGAAACCCGTCACGTGTTCTACTCCCGCATTTACCATTCCTTCTTCCAAACGTATTTTGAGGCCACTGAAACATGGCAAAATGGCTGAAGACTCTATACTGCGGCAATCAAGGCAAAGGGACGTTTTTGCGTTCGATGAATGATCAACAATTTGATTCAACAACCCTGAAGCCCCAAGAAAGATGGACATTTAGTTTCTCCACACATTGTCAATATAAACTTCAGCAAACTGGTTTGGAGAATTTGCAAAATGATCACCGTTAAGAAAGTCTTGTTTCCAACAAATTCTCCCAACAAGTAAATTTTCAAATGTATGAAAATCGGTACGGAGATTATGTATTTCGAACATATTTGGCCTCATGGGTGAACACATTAACACAGTTTATATGTTCATTGCCAAGGTATCAGACAGGGAAATTTTTGAAATAGGAACTTATGAGTAACTTTTACTGCAATTTATCAGAGAGTACACGATTTTAAAAGTAATTTCTGTCATTTTACACGCTATTTTCCTAGAAGGCCCGGTCCACGCCACGCCGGAGAAATTGGAAACCACAGCTTTTATTATTTCTACGGTTAGGTCTACCGTCCACACTAATCCGTCACGAAAACGGAGCTTTACGAAAACGCTCTTGACACCGGAGGAATTTGAAAACGCGGCTTTGCGTTTTAGTGTGAACAGAAGACATTTGATGCGTTTTCAGAGCCGTGAAAGCACCGTTTTCAAATTTCTCCGGCGTAGTGCCGGACAGTGCCTGAGCCGAGTCTGTAAATTCTTTTTTTTTTTAAGAATACGTTTTTCTTCACTGATTTATAGTTCTTTGTATCTGTAGTAGTAGAATAACACTAGTGTTTAAATTTGCGTTGAATTAACCGCGGGAACGTGCTGACAACGGAAGTTATTTACGCGTGGCTGACGAACACTTAACCGGAAGACATGGCAGCGATTCATTAGTTATTCGGAGCGTTCAAGAGCATCTCAGACACTCACATTATACACATGAAGTCAACCGAAGAACACATCAATACAGCATCGTAAACAATCAGTGCACATAGCAGTTTTATAAACAGAATTTCTTCGAATTTGAGGTGTTGTACGGGATTGGCTTGCAGAAGGCTGATTAGTACAGTACCTCTGTGTGTCCTAAGGCACTTGTGTAGCAAGAACGTGCAGCTTGCTTAATGATTTCATCTTTTCGTGGTATTCAAAGGTAAGTAGATATTGTTCCTCTTTTTGAACCAAACTAGTTTCCCTTTGCCTGCTGTCCTCCTGAAGAGCTTTGCTCAGCGAATCTGGCGGCCAAAAAAATATGCCGTCGATCAGAACTTAATCAGGGCCGAAAAACGAGGACGAAATGTACCCGGAAATGCGTAGTGTTCAGAAACATACAGTCTGACCAAATGTTGCTAACAAACTGATTGCATAGAGGGAGGGAGAGAGAGAATAACTACATTTTGCGCGTCAATCTCGTGATTCACCGATATAGAGACTCGAGCTGAGTTTCACTTTTTTCTATCAGCTCAATTCCAAGCTTCATGGCACAAAAAGAATTAAGGCAGTCGGTGTTATCTTAAATAATATATTCTTGTCGTGTTCCGCAATGCTTCAGATACAAAGCGTCTCATCAATGTCAATGCCACTATAAACAAATTACCGTGGTTGTGATGTTTTGCCTGCAGTAACAAACTAGTTACTAAGATTATCAAACTATTATCTCCTGGAAGAACGTGTGTTTTCTTGCAACGTTTGTTTGCCCAATATGTGACCTTTCTAATACCGCCTTGGGTGTGAATTACTACAGTTGTTTACCTTTGAGAAAGACCGGAGTGTAAATTGTCTTGTGCTGACAATCATCGCGTATTAGCTTTGTATTATTCATATGATCAAGCTTCTTCGAGTCGATTACAAAGGCCTGAACGGCTAATATTTCATAAAACCTATCTATCTCGCGAAACTTAAACTGAGTTGTTTTACCAGTCATATCATGAACAAAACAGTTGTACAAGATTCGTCTTTAATTTTTTTTTTCTATGAAAAGGTAACGTTTTACTGCAAACCGTCTGGAGATCTAAAGCTTCAAAGGATCGGAAGAAAGTTTCTTACATGTACAGCAAAAAGCCGGGAAAAAGTTATTGAAGCGGCTAAGAAACTGCGTGATTTGAGTCTTGTTACAAACATGCATGTTTATTTATTATTGTAATTATTTTCAGATCAGTCAGTTTAAGTAATAATAACAATAATTAGATAACAGTTCATGCTTCAGTAGATGAGTAATGTTATCAAAGGGGTCCTGTTTAAAAGAAAAATGTATAATATAAACTAAGATAAGATAAAAGATAAAAAGGTATAAATAACTCTGTAGCCACATCGAAGTACATGATCTGTACATCAATCCATTCCGCAAGGTTTCCTCTATGCCTATATCAGGGGTATCGGTTAAGCATTAATACACTGGTGTTAAGCGATGAACACACTGATTAACTCAGTGCTAACAGAGACCATAACATCAGATGGCTTTAGTAATTATGATATATGACAACAAACAGGAACTTTCAAGCATGCAAGGTGGACAGTGAGTGACGCAAGCTATTCAGGAACAAATTTTCTCGCCCATAATGCCATGACACTTAAACATCATTTCGCAATTGCGTTCCACACAAAAAGGGAGCTATTTCTAGAAATGGGAAGAACATGTACAGATTAACAGAAAGTGTTCTGTGAAACAGGTCACCAGGCCACCTTTATTTCTGAACTGGAAGAAGGACAGGAACAGAGTTCAAATCGCTGCATTTAGAAGGTTTGTGAACTTTTAAATGCATGACCTTGTTACCATCAAACATGCTTGTGTGGGCAAATGTTTCACGCGTGCTCTGCTGCGCGACTAAGTAATCTGACTTATCTGAAACACGTCATCGCTTCAATGTTTACTCACAAGGCCTGAGGAAAAAAACCGAGTTGTTTGTCTAAGACGTCTTTTTTGGTTATTTTCGTTCCTTTACTTCTTTTATTTTAATTGCTCTCTATCTATGGTGTAATAAATGCGAACAAAGCCCGGGACAAAGGCAAGTCGTATGCTAAGTCTACGACGTTAATTTGTTGTCGTAGAGCTTATCTCTACAGGCCGGAAATATAGCGCATTGTGAAGATGCCTTTGCTTTTATAGCGGTTGGTTTTTTAAGTGGGGCGATCACTGATTTAGCGACTAGAAATAAATAATTTCTCATAAAAAACGGGAGGGTCGAGGTCAATAATTGCAATTTTTCATAGTAGTCCTTCTTTCGCTTAGTCCGTCGTGCGTGACGCGAAAGAAAACCGCGAGAAAAAAACTGGCCACGCGGTCATTTCTTTCTCGCAGTTTTCTTTCGCGTCACGCACGATCACGACGGACTAAGCGAAAGAGGGATTAAACGTAGTCTAATTTGCCGAATATTGACAAAATGTCAGGAGTATTTGTGGCTATAAATGCTTCACGAAAAGTACCAAAAAGGCATATATTTTCAGTTTCTTCGGAAAGATTCGCCATGCTCATGCGACCAGCTCTAGGCTGGGATTCTTTGAGCTTTAATACATTATTCAAAGTTGATAGATAATGACGTATTCTTTTAACAGTGTATTTCAAAAATAGTTAGCTATTTTGAGCTATTTTTTAAAAGTACCTTACTTCACAAATCAAGTAGAAATCAACAGAAAACTTGTATGTTTGTTTGTTCGTTTGTTTGTTTCGACGCCGATGGCGCAGTGGCCAGAGCGCTCGCCTCCCACTGATGTGGCACGGGTTCGATTCCGGCCTGGTGTCATATGTGGGTTGAGTTTGTTGTTGGTTCTCGCCTTGCTCCAAGGGTTTTCTCCGGGTTCTGGGTTTTCCTCCCTCCACAAAAACCAACACTCCAAATTGTAATTCGACTAGGATAGAGGACTCACATGATAACATGTACAAGGGTTTTCTCTCCAAATTTTGCTTCTTTTTCTTCACCTTAATTGTACTGTAGTTAATCATGGCCGTGAATCAGTTCTTTTATTTCTGTTGTCAGCTTGGTTTGACTCCGCTTCTCTGCTTTTGTTTTGTTTTGTTTGTTTTGTTTGTTTATTTGTTTTGTTTTGTTTCACTGTTTTTTCTTTTCATTCTTCTTCATTGTTGATATTAAGCCTCTGTGATAGAGGCAGTTTTATTTACTTGTTTACGCTTTTTGCAGCATATTCACAATAACCACAGAAGTTCCGTTTGACCTGCTGGTCATACGCTTGCTCATAACATGATATCTACAAATCTCGGAGCTGCCTTAATTCTCTGTGTAAGTATTTAACACTAAGTTTAATTTCTCATTTAACCGCAAGTAACACAAGCAATATTTTCGCTAGAACTCGAGCGTGGCGCACAAAGGAAGAGGTAAAAATGCGCGAAAATTCTGCGAAACGTTCCAGCCGTTTCTCACCGGGTTGACTCAAACGAAAGCCACATTTCTACCATACGTGCTGGGCAACTGAGTTTCTTAAACAGCGGCTTAGTTTTAATTTGGTTCTGTATTTTTACTGAGCTTTGCCATTTGACAATGTTTTAATCTGGTTTCTTATGCCGCAGCATGTCTCTTCAGTCCCGAAGGAAAGACCTTTTGTTATGTTTCTTTAACTGTTCCTTTCATTTACAAACATCATTTTCCCTTTCCATTCAGTTGGTTTTCAGTTTATCAAGCCAGCAACAAGAGTTGGATTTGAAGACATTGAACGATCGACTAAGGCAACAATGCTTTAACGATCGAAAAAACAACACCAATGATCCAAGTAAGTGTATAAGAAAAGTCATTTTCGCCAACGTCATCGACTCTTTCACGAAAACTAGTCGCAAGACTTTTTGGATGTTAAAGAGTGATCACCTGCTCATGTTCTACTGTCCTTGCTGCTGTTTACGTGTTTTCCCGCGCTTACCGCGGGTTTCATGATTTCCCGCGCTCACTGCTCGATTACCGAACCATTGTCCGCGTTTATCACCGGTTACCGGTTGTTTCTCCTCACTAAACGCCGCTTGCATGTTCCACACTAGTTGTACAATATCCCGCGCTCGCTTCCGCGCTTAATGCAGTTTACGTGATCTCTTGCGCCCGTCACCGGCGTATACCGTGTTTATAATTGGGTTTTAAGCTGCCATAGTGTTAGTGCGAGGTTAAAAAGGTAAAGTCTGCATACGAGCCAAGTGACCTATCAGACCGGCTCTAATCTCCGGTTTCAGTTGCATGAGGCGACTTGGAGTATTTCTACTTCCCCCTAAATGTGATGCTAGTCAATCGCAGGGTTACCACCAGCATTAAATTCAGTGGTACTCATAAATATACCTGGGTGGAGAGAGGCACTGTGAAAGTTAAGTGTCTTGCCCAAGAATACAAGATGTCCCGACAAGGGCTCAAACTCGGACCGCTCAATCCGGAGTCGAGCGCTCTAACCATAAGAAAAGGTCACCGCGCCTTCATAGTGCTACAAAACTGAGCTGGAAATCCTAACGAGACAGGTTTCTCGTAGGTTATATCAATACTCCAAAGATTGCCGAGTCACAGGTTGTATAATTGTGCACCTAAACAACCTATGCGGCCGGTTTAACTAAGACTCGACAGAACTGGGTCGTTCTATTACCAGTGCTATGGCTGCTCCATTATTTTCAAGAAATGATTATCGCCTATAACTGTGATTTCTGTAATGTGACCTGCATAATTATTTACCGGTCCTTGTGCTGTCTAACTTGTCCCTTACGTTCCTTTGTTTGTAGATGAAATTACGTGCAACAGAACTTATGATGTTGCTTGCTGGCCAGAAACTAAAGCTGGTGATTCATTCATACAAGATTGTCCTTTCCTGTTATTTCGTTCCGGAGGTAACCGTACTTTAACGTTTTTGTCGTTGGTGGTGGTGTTATTGTTGTTGTTGTTGTTGTTGTTTTTCTCAGAATATATTCCCACATTCAAAATATAAGTTCCCCAACTGATTGCCGTTTCTTTTAACAGGGTGTTTAGTATTAGCTAGCTTCGTCGGGCCAAGTGGCCTATACAGCCGGACCTTATCCCGGTTTCCGTGGGATTAAGTGACTAGGGGTACTCCCACTGCCCCCTGGGTGGGATGCTAGTCCATTGTTGGGTTACTTCCTGGCATTAAACTCGCCAGTACCCATTTTATACACCTGGTCCGGGTTGTTCGTACGTTGGATAACGCTATATGTGAGTGTAAAGTGTCCCGGCTAAGAACACAACGCAATGTCCCCGGCCAGGGTTTGAACCCGGACCGCTCGATCCGGAGTCCACCGCGCTAACCATGAGGCCACCGCGCTACCACAGTGCCGCGGTTATGAAAAATTATACATATACTCCTCATTTTCTATCATAAACCCTTACTTTTTATTACTTTCTTAAATGCACATTTTTAATTATTAAGATTAGTACAGCTCATTTTGGCGAATTGTACAGCGCCTAAAACAGGCATGAATAGGCGCTATATAAATATTTATTATTATTATTTTTATTATTATTGTTATTATTATTATTATTATTATTATTATTATTATTATTATTATTAAGAATGCTCTAAATGTTCGTACGTTTTGCGCTTAATTTCCTATAGCCAATTCAATTATTCTCAGGTAAAATCTCTCGACGATGTGATGAGCAAGGCAACTGGCAGGAGATGAACATCTCCAATTGTCGCCGACTATCACCAAAAGAAGCGGTTAAGAAAGGAAAACAAGAGGCAAACATACCGTCTGAGGAAAAGGCAAGTTAAACAGTACACCTTCGTAATAGTGATATTTTTAACGGCAAACTGTATTGAAGCACTGGTCAGTCAGGATGGCGCATTTCCGAATTCCTTAAGTCGTCAGTTTATATGGAATCGTCTTAAAGTAAGTCTTCAATGACAAATAAATAAATTAATTAATTAATAAAACAAAATAAATTTACAATATTTAGAGAGTAAGCCACATCAGCCTTATCTGGTTTTCATGCAGGTCCTCTATCCTGGTCGAACTGGAATTTGGAAATGTTGGTTTTTGTGGAGGGAGGGAAACCGGAGAACCCGGAGAAAAACCCTCGGAGTAAGGCGAGAACCAACAACAAACTCAACCCACCTATGGCACCGGGCCGGAATCGTACCCGGGCCACCATGGTGGGAGGCGAGTTCTCTCGCCCCTGCACCATCCCTGCTCCCAACACTGAGGTTGTGTGCTTATAGGAGTGCCCTGAGGGATCATCCTAGCTAAATTATCACGGCGTGCTTTTCAATGTGAAGAAAAAAAAATCGAGTTCTGTCTCTTTATCGATACTTGCAATTGTCAGTTTAACTAACACATTACTTTATTTTCTTTCACAGCATGACTCTGTCACTCATTTGGAACGTGTTCAGCGTGTCTATGTGGCCATCAGTTGGATCGCGTTTTTTGTCTTGCTGCCTTCCTTCATAGTCATATGTATCGTCATGTAAGCTGACTCCTTTTATCCTGCTCCTATATAGCTGTAAATGAACTCGATGGTTTTGGGTGAAAAGTGTACATATTTATATCGGAATTCGCCACTCGGGTGTAAAAATGTATATTTAACGACTATTCCGCGAACACACGTTGGATATGAGTTGGCTATATAATCATCTCATATCCTACAAGCGCGAGTGGAATAATTGCCTTATTAAAGACGTCCCCAAAGCGTAGAAAACTACAATAAAATAAACATAAAAAATAAAAATACCCCAAAATATCATATTTGTAGATCATGGTATAATGGACCATAACCCATGTCATTGATGGCTAAGCCAATGAAAACACTCAAACTGCATTATCTAACGATCTAGTTTTCAGTAAATTCTAAATATTTCGTTTTTCTCCTTTTATAGATGCCGTGAGAATGAGCGCTTTACCATTCACAAGAATCTGATCCTGACATTTATTCTACGCCACATCACGTTATTTATTTACTACTATGAAAACATGGGAGAAAAAGACTTCAAAACGGTGAGCTCTGTCACTTTCCCTGATTTGAAAGTAATTTTATACGCGGCTTATTAGAAATCTTCTTTTGTTTCTGCACAGAGCGTTTGCAATGCATTTTGGTTGTTGAACCGCTACTTCACGGCTTCCGAGATCACGTGGATGCTCAATGAAGGGATCTTTCTACTGCGCATGCTTGTGTACCCCTTCGATAACGAGTCGTATTTGTGGTACTACTTTCTCTTTGGCTGGGGTACGTATGTCTTTGTTTAGCTGATATTCGCGCAACCTCGTTCCCAGGATCTCTCATCTTCCTCGCCCCGTGAGGGTGGGAAGACGAGAGATCCTGGGAACAGGTTGATATTTGCGTCGGTTCATCAAGTTATGAACAACTAGTGGAGATTATTATTTTTGTGTGCTATTTATTAGTTCCAATTCAGTAGATCACTATTTTAAACTAGTTTGGTTGTTTCCTGTTTAACAGGTTTCTCTGGCGTCCTGACATTCTGTGTCTACCTTCCTTACATGCAGTTTAAGATTGCTAGAGTCAGCGCAGGGTCAGTAACAGTAGGCTTATTCTTGTACAGTCGTTTTATAAGAAGAGGTTTTTCGATTGCTCAGGGTCAAGAAACTAAGTATAACGTGCTCTTACGAAATCTCGTTTTATTTTATTCTATTTTATTTTATTTCTTTTACCCCATCGCAAACAATCAGATGTGATTTGGCTTACGTGCCTTGACGCGCTTGGCGCTGTCTACATGTTTTCGCGCGCTCGGCACCATGTTTTCCCGCTCTTGTTTTCCCGCGCTTAACACCAGTTACATGTTTTGAAATATTTGAAGGATAATAAACACAATAGCCTCCATTTGGTGCGAAAATATGCTCGGAGATTTGTACTTGGAGATAATCTGTTTTTGCAAGCTCAAAATTTTCATCGAGCTACGCTTCCGGAAAACTGTTTACTTCTTGGAACAGATAACGTCCGCAAGCAAATATTCGTGCATATTTTCGCGCTAAATGGAGGCTATTGTTAATATACTACCTCCGTTGGCATTTATTATTCCATTCTAAGTTTCAAATTAAAATCAAATGCCAATAACAACATTTCAAAACGACAAACAAAGCCTCATTCATACAACTTTGATCAATAAACACCTATTTCGACTGAGTTAAGCTTATACATCGCTTCTTCTGTTGTCTCTCAGTTGCTGGGCTTGGGGTCAATACAGTCACTCGAGCCACATGCTAGTGTTGTATGTTCCACTGACAATCATGTTATTGGTAAGAAACGTTAAATATTCCTCCTATCATCTCTGTGTCATAAAGAATTAATGCTTCAGTTATAATTTTGGCAATTTCGCCGGCTTCCTTTTTAACTGCACATGTTACTCAGCAAATTATTTAAATGTCTATCTGAGGCTTTTAGAAGTGACCGGATTTCCAATTATCACACTTACCTATCCTGATGGTGAACTGAATTCTGTTGCTGAGACCGATTTCTGTTCCACAGATCAACTTTGTAATCGCAGCATACGTCATTCAAATGCTCGCAAGAAAGCTCAAGAATTCTTCTTCGACACAGATGAATAGAATCAAGTGAGTATTCCAGACTGAGGTCACGAAAATCTAACCTTATCAAAGAGGTTTCCGTATTCGTATTGATCTTCGGGATAAAAAGAGTGACTCATTGACACGAAATGCGTTATGTTATGTCTTATACAGTGGTCATAGAAACGTACAAAGCAACTACAACTGTTAAATTGTATTACAAAAAGAATAACTACATAGAAAACGTAAGATATTACTTTGAGAATTTTTCACGATGAATGGCCCACAAGTATCATATAATTATAATACTGGAGATTGTGGTGAAAAGCCCATTTGCGCAGAGAACGGAGTTCCTCTTTCTGTCGCAAGCAAATTCGTCTCCAAGAACTGTTTTTGGCAAGGAATTTTGAATTTGGGTTGCATGTTTTTCGCAAAACATGTTATAGTTTCTTCAGTTTATATTATAATTATACTTTGTTTCTCTTCTTTCAACAGAAAAAGCGCCAAAGCGATAATAATTCTGATCTCCCTTTTGGGGCTGATATACCTCCTGGTATTCTACCTGCCGGGAGATAACCCTTCCAGCGAGTATTTTGTCGCTGTTGTTTATCCACTTCAGGTAAGAATAAAACGCTACTAACAACGCTAGTCATCCTCCTTTTTCTACGGAAAAATCAATGGCTCGTGCTTCTGTCGAACAAGCCAACAAATAAAGGAAAAATAAATAAAATAAAGCACTTTATTTAAGTGTCGAAGTGTTATGCACTGCTGTATTAATCATATTGTGAACACTGAAATAACCAAACAAATATTGTAAAAAAATAATCCCAACTGGTAGGAAGCTGACCAGTTGACTATTTAAAAAGCGTGGAGGACTTGAATCTGGAATCCATCTCGTGGCAGGCAGGAGGATTTGAACCCGGGACCTCCGAATTACAAATCCAGCGCCCTCACCACTAGGCCTCGCCGCCTCCACAAACGTAACCACTTTCATTAGACGTGGAGAGCGGAGACTTCTATATGAGTGATGCCTAATCTCGATCCCAGATTTCCCGGATCTCGCTCTGTTTGACGCTTGGCCGTGGCAGATCTGGGTTGGAGATTAACTTATGACGCCAGTTTAGCAGGAGGTCTTGATTCCCGAAAAATCGTGATGTATGAATCGGCGCCCTACGCATATCAGCGTGCACAACCCATGTCTTTTCTCCAGTGGCAGTAATCCGTTTCGTATCCAACTTACAGCGCTGAGGAGAGAGCAAATTCGATTAAAATGTTGGCATGTTCATGGTGAAATGTATTTACCGCGAAATTTAATTTGGCCGGCCGGGCTGTAAATTATTAGTCGAGCCTGAAAGCGAGCAGTTCTAGTATCCTTCGAATCTCTCACGTTTTTTTTTTTTTTAACAGGGAATAATGGTCTGTATATTTTGTGTGTTCCTGAGCTCGGAGTTTCGTGAAGCCCTCAAGAGACATTGGATGAAATGGAGATATGGAATAGAAATAGAGACGGTGAGGAAAGTATATCATTAAACACGCGATTCGGACCTAACAAGATCGGCCGATTCTGCCTTTTAGAGAAAGGCGACAGTATACATTATCGTTCATCCAGATACCTTAAAGTGCCAATGAAATGAGCAATTGTTTCACCCAGTTTGCTTGCTTATGTCCTTATCAACTCAGATATATCTGTTTAACTAGCCTGCCGAGCAGGTGTCCTCGTACGGAGAGCTTTTTCTGCGTTCTCCGCCCGCGCGCAAATTCGATCGAAAGCCCCGGCACCACTCCCTACTTAGTCGATTTTGCTCTCGCTCCAATTTGCGCGCGGCCAGAATGCGGAAAAAGCTCTCCGTTCTTTCGGGAACGCTTGCCAGCCAGACTACTGTTTAACCGATCAAAAGCGTTTTCTTGTAGCAATATTTGGATCTCGAAGTTTGACACAAGATTTAGTGTTATGTTTGCACCATGTATGTACTTTGTCCACCGCGCCGCGCACATAAAAACTGCTAACTGATCTGAGAACCAATCATGTTGTGATCGCCACGTCTGTTGCATCTAATCCTCCTGTCTATTAATGCTATTCATGTCCCTAACAATTTTTCTTCTCCATTCTAGAACCCATACGCGACAGGTCGTGATAATGAGGCAGGACCTTCTGGTGAACAAGAGGGAACCTCCGCAACCATGCTTAGAACAGAGTCCTCAGAGACAGTACCACCCAGAGCCCTCTCAATAGCGTCCCTACGAGATAAATCAAGGTAACGGGAGTCCAGCTTTGATTAAGGTTGTGAAAACATATCGTGGAACCAGAATGATATTCTTTTAAATTAAATGCTACAAAGGTTTATGACTGTTGGTTCTGACTTACGATTAGCTAAATAAGAAGGTCAATTTTGAAAGGAAAGTCAATCGGCTTTTCCAGTCCGTCAGTGGTCGTCCGTGCGTTCTCCTTTGTTAGCGCGTAAGAGTTGGAAATAGGAGAGTAAGGTTTGGAGCACTGCTAAATACTTTCGTGTTTCTACACCCCAGGTGTTAAATTGGGTTCTGCCAAGCTGTTGCAGAAAGCTGAGAATAGTTCTGCCGGAGGAACGAGAAACAAGCGATAAGTTAGCTAGCATTTTAACTGACCAGTAATGTTCCTAGTTGTTTTACGCAGCGTGGAAACCGAACATACCCACAGTTCCAACATACCTACCTACCGTACCCAGCCACCTACCTGCCTACCTACTTGCATCTCCCTTACTAACTGGAAACCATATTTTCAGTGGCCAGTTGCCCAAGGACGCTTCTCACAGGAGGAACACTCAGATGTCTCTTCTGTCTCGATCAAGCGATCTCACAAGATTTCGCCTCGCGAAGATTGAGCCTGAGCCCATGGTTCCACTACGGGTACAGTCAGTGGGCCCAGGGGACTGGGTCCCACCGACGCTTCAAGCAGTCAAGGCCTGGGGAGTGATCGAGTTGCCTAAGGTAAATGATTGGAGATAAAATATTTGAGACTTTTACAGCGCTTGTGGAATAATTTGTCAAAATAGCTGCTTTCGTGACTTAAAAGCTAAAGTGTTTCGGCGTTCAAATCGTGTATTCAGTTTCATAGACAGACTAGTACCCAGGCCTGCCTTTCTGGATCGCTTGATTTGTCACTTATTTCATGACGTCACCGGCTCTGGCCGGTACGCAAGTTTGAAGTATGCTTAGATAGCGGGTTGTTTCATGAGCCATGTTCATTTTGAATAAGACAAAATTCTTTAAAACTACTCAAATTCAAGGGTGAAAATCATATTTGAGTCAGTGGCCACAAAATTCGTCCAGAAGATATCAGTCTAATCGAGGGAAAGTAAGGCTAAAGCCCTATATAGCTATCGCGAAAAAGTTTGACCGCCAGAATGACATCTAGAAATGCCAATATATGGATTGGCTGTGGGTTTTGTAGCGCAAAAAAAAAACAAAGATTTCTTGATATCTTTATTCCACAGAATTCAGATGAACCGACTGCTAGCGAAGGGCATGCAAATGAAGGTTTCTCGGGTAGCCGTGCTTCGCTTGCCGGCCGCAAGAATTCTCTTTATTCCGCAAAGCCAGAGACGGAACCAGTGGAATCCCAGACAACATCTCTAGTAGAACCGGAAACAAAGACAGAAGACCGTGAAGAGTCTGGGAGATCTGGAGAGCCAAACAACACTGCAAAAGATGATACGAGAGAGAATTCCACACCACAACAATTTGAAGACCAATTTTCGCCGTTCTCGAGTCAACTGTTCGAGCACGAAGATGAAGTATATAAAGAGTCTCCGAGCTCAAGTCCTGTGGCAAGTGTGGAACCTGTTACATCTGGCGGTGAAACGCCGACAGCTACAGCAGGCTCGAGTTCATCCCAAGATGCCGAACCATCGACAAGCGCTGAGGATTCAAACGCTTCTTCTCAAGGAAAGGGATTCTGGGACAAAGCACGACTATTGGCGTCACAAAGACGAAGATCTCGGATAGAACACAACAAGGTGTTGTCCAACAACGACGGTAAGATCATCTGTGTCAGTGGCTTTAGTGGTCTGACACAAATCATTGAGTGTTATCAAGAGTTTTTAACCAATCCACCTTGGGCGGCATTCAGGGTGAAAAAAATCATTGCAACGAAGGGAATACCAACAAAGTCCACCAGCAAAAAGTTTAAGGGATCGTACAACGGAAGGGCTTTGCTCGTGTTTACGTGTTTATACACTCCTTAGTAGCTTCGACGCGGAAATGTGTTAAAAAGCACCTTGGAAATTCTTTTCTAAAGGCTTGGTTAAAGCGCAACAACCGCCGTTTTAGACAAGCAGCTGGCCTATCGAGCGTTAGTGACCAGAAAAGTGACTAGCTGACGTCAACCCGTCCAGCTGTACAAATTCGTTCCCAGTTTCCTCTCTCTTCCCCTCGAGCGAAGAAGTAAGAGGACCCTGGGAACGGGGTTGCCGTTTCTACACACGTGAGTGCGTGGTACGTATTTCGATAAGATTG